GGGCGAGTCCAGTGGGACTTAATGCAAGCGTGTGCGCATGTGCATGCCAGGGCATGCTGGGTACCCTTTGTGCAAGTCTGGTTCTCTCTGTTCAGATCAGCCTTGGCCTCTTTCTTTTCTGTCTTTTCTTGCTAAGCTGGGGATTGAACCTGGGTGCTGTACCACTGAGCTGCTCTTAGACCTTTTTTTTTTTTTTGACCAGGGTCTTGCTAGTTTGTTCAGGCTGAACTTGTGATCCTCCTGCCTCAGCCTTCTGAGCAGCTGGGGTTCCATGTGTGCCACATGCCTGGCTTTTGCCACCCTTGGTTGTTCCCACTGTCACCTTGACAAACACCTGCCAGCCTTTGTGCCAGAGGCTGCAGAGATGACAAGGCTGAGTGACAGGCTGGTCCAGGGAGCCACAGATTGGGAGAAGGGGCGGGACACTGACTGGTGCTTCCTGTGAGCACTAACTATGAGGTGCCAGAGTATGAATGCTTTAAATGCTGAGGAGCAGTGCATGGCTGTTCATCCTTTGGATTCTTATAGATTTTTAGCTTTTAGTTTCCATTTCTAGCAACTCTTTCACTGTAAATCAAGCAGCAAAGAGCAGAGCAGAAGAGGAGGAGGCAGGGAAAGCCTTGCGCAGTTCCCCAAGGTTGCGGGGCTGCTGCGGGGCTGCTGAGGGGCTGCTGAGGGGCTGCTGGCTCTGGGCTCCTGTAGAGGCACCTCAGCTTTGGGACTGAGCCCTCCTGGGAGCACCTGTCCATCCCAGGGCAGAGCTGGGTGGCATGGCGGCCCAGACTTGCAGAAAGGGTGGGGTGGGGTGGCGTCCCATGCCCTCTGGGAGACACAGGTGGGACAGATGTCGGGAGGGACAGATGGGCCGCCAGGGGCTCCGGCCTGAACACGCTTCAGATTAAGGTACTTGGGAGATTTCTTCAATATTTATCAAGTTGGGAGCAGAAACCAATTCTTATTAATAAAGATTTCATGTAAAAGCAGATACACTTGCCACGGGCAGCAGGAAAATGAAAGTCCCGGAAAGAACTCAGCAAAACGTAGTTCATACGTTGTGCCTTATTTTCCTGTCAGTTTTCTTCAGCCATTCTTTGCCAGGGTTGTTCTTGGAGTGCACACTAAAGTGGTGGAAAATCAGGCACCATCCTAATGAACCCCAATTTTGAGAAGAGCCCTCACCCAGGCTTTTTCAGGCTGGTGGCCCTTTGGGGAGCTTAGTGGCATCTCAGGGTGATAGTGAGTGTCTCCCACGTGGTCACCCGTTGGTTGGTCTCAGAGGTGCTCACCCACGGGTGCTGGGGCGGTCACGCGCTGGCCTTGGTGACGGTCATCTGCTGATGTGGGGTGGTCCTTTGCTGACCTTGGGGGTGGCCACACACTGGCCACATGGCAGCCAGGTGCTGGACATGGGGACATGTCCCCGAGGATCAGCATGATGCCCACATGTGCATTTCAGCTCTCAGTGCGGATGGGGCAATTCTGGCAAGGAACATGTCGAGAGTCTGCATCTGAGAGCGCTGGAGGCCTCTGCTGTGTGAAGCCCTGACTTGCAGGCCTCACAGCTGCCTTTGGGGCTTCAGAGCCCTTCACTGGGACACCTGAGAGAGCCGGCGCGGGGGCTGAATCAGCTATGCCTGGCTTCCTGCTCATGGCAGCGTCAAGTGGACCCAGTGTCCTCGGTCAGCTGGCGACCTTCCCCTGGGCCGGGCTAGAGCCGAGAGCCTGACTGCAAGAGGTCACTCTGCCAAAGAGGCCATGCCTCACCAGGCTGTGCATGGTTTTGAGGTCACATTAGGACCCACCAGGGTCACTAGGGCCTGTGTGGGGATCACCGGAGCTACCTAAGGGGTCCTTTGGAAGAGGAGCTGTCCTGAGGCACAGTCTGTCCCTGCTTGCCCAGGAGGTGAAATCTGGCCCAGGTGCGCCCCCAGAGGCCCCGGCAATCCTCGTTCTTCTCCGGGACTCGTTTCCTCAGTAGGGTTGGTGGCATCAGTTGGGCTGAGAAGCTCAGAGGTGGGCCCTGCTTGGGATGAGTCCAGGGCGGTGTGCCACTGCAGTGACCCTGCAGGGACAAGGGGCCTACCCTCCACTTCCAGACGCAGGATGGAGGCTCCAGGAGAACCCAGCCGAGGTCACCGACCAGCCAGAAAGGGTGCTGGCACCCTGGGCACCTGGACAGCTTGCTCACTGTGGCCTGGCTGAGTTAATTCCCACACTTTCGTGAGTTCTATTAATAATGTGGGTTGGAGACATCTGTCTCCCCTAAAGCCACCCATACAGGGAGAGTCCGCCTGGTGCTGGATGCAGTTGCTGCCGTAAACGCGCTCGCATGTGCCGTGCACGGGGACCGCCCTGGCCCTCCCCATCCGCCTGTCTCGGAGGACGTGTCCTGAGCTCTGGGTCATCCCGGCACTTGGCCCATGACCATTTGCTGACCGTGCCAGGTCTGACAGCACCCGAGGGCTGGGGATGAGTCAGAAGCGGGGTGCAGGGTTCCCACCAGGGCTCGTCTGTCCTCTCACAGCTCCGTGACCCCGTTCTGCTTGTTCCTGCTGTCATTCTGGGCCTCCTCCCTGCCGCAGGCTCAGCCTGTCCTTGTGGGTCCCCTCCCCCTGCTCTTCCTGTGTCTCCCAGGGAATGAATGGCCTCCCCTTCCCCGGCTCTCCCTGGGACACTGCATGTGTTTCCTGTGGCTGTTGCAACAAATTGCTCAAAAGAACAGGCATTTATTCTCTCCTAGTTCCTAATCAGCACAGCCTGGCTGACATCAAGGTATTTTCAGGGCCAGCTCCCTCAGGAGCCCCTGGGGAGAAGCCACTGCAGGCGTCTTCAGCTTTTGTGGTTGCCAGTGTCCCTTGGCTTGTGGCCGCATCGTTCCAGTCTCTGTCCCTCTGGTCACATTGCCTCTTCCTCCTCCTCGTCAGCCTCCCGTGCCTTCATCTTGTAGGAGGATGGACATGTGGTTGCGTCTAGGGCCACTCTGGTCATCCAGGACAGGTGGCTGAGGAGCCTTGACACGGCTGCACCTGCAAGGCCCTCTGTACCGCACGGATTGCTGCGCACAGGGCAGCGTGAGGACCTGGATAATTTGGGGGGCTGTTTCTCAGCAGCCAGAGACCTGGCAGCCCTGAGTCAGATGTGCCCCCGAGTCCTGACCTGCGTCCTGCCCTTCAGCTCCAGGTGCCGTGCGTCCCTCCAGGCTGTTGCCCCCAGGAGTCAGCCTCGGATGCCCCAGGCCCCGCCAGCTGCCCACTGTCCTCATCCTGACACCCCTGTCTGACGTGCCGCTCCTCACCTGCGCTCAGTGCGCTGGCACCCCGCAGTCAGCTCTTCCCCTTGGCCAGGCCTGCCTCTGGGCCCTCGCCGGCGCGGTTCCCTCCTCCCAGAGTACCAGCTCTCTCTGGCCGTGCGTGTGGCTGCTGCAGAGGGTCAGGCAGAAGCAGCGGCCTGCGCTGACTTCCTGCTCCCAAGCCATTCTATGTGTCCTCTGTGTCTGTGCCAGTCCCCGCTGTTGGCTGTAGCTGCTACTTCCTAGTGGGCTGTTCACATTGTCCCTGGAGCTGGGGGCCGAAGCACCAGCTGGCTGAGTGTGCTGGGCAAACGGCATCCATGCCAGGCTTGCCACTCACGGCAGAGGTCGGCATGGCAGTGCTGGCTCGGCTGTACTCGAGGTTCTCAGCTGGCAGTGGTCCAGCAGCCTGAGGTCAGGGAGAAGAGGCATCCTGTCCTCTACTCCGTCCCTTCTCCCAGCCAAGATGATGGCATGGTAGAGGCCACGTGGGTTATTTTGGGGTGTCGTTCCCTAACATCTGGGGCTACAGGCTGAGTGCACAGCCTAGGGAACCCCAGCCCCTGCCAGCTAACCCAAGTGTCTGGTGGGCAGCAGAAACGCCAGTGTGTCCCACTTTCAGAGAGGATCTGGGAATCGAGTCACTAAGATGGAGCCTTCCGGCTCTTAAGTCTGAGTTCAGGGTTTGAGAAGCCCATGGTGGGTGACAAGGTCCTGATCCAAAGGAGAGGCACCTACAGGTTGGACGCCACGGGAGGCCCTGATGTAAGACCTTTGGGTCACAGATGGTACACAAAACTCAAAGCCGAAGAGCAGTCGTTGAGGCAGCCGACTGAGCAGGACGACCAAGCAGAGGACCGTGCTGTGCGCCACCGTGAGGGGGCAGCTGGGAGCGCCTGGGCAGGTACTGAGGGGAGGGGCTGGCGTGAGGGTGGGCACAGGGATGCCCATGCTGAGGGCCTGGCGGGTCAGCTGTGTGCCCGCCACCTGGTGACTCACGTAAGGGCTGGGAGGACAGTGACAACTGCGCCTTGAGTGCCACAGGACGGGCAGCCTGAATCCAGACAGAAGCAAGAGGGAGAGACAGGAGGACACTTGCCTGTGGTGTGGTCTTGGGTCAGGCGGGCAAAGGGACAGGCCGTGGGGACTGCAGCCAGGTACACGAGCTTGTGTCTGTCCAAGGCGTTCGCTGTGGCAGGTGGAAGCCCTCTTTGGTGGGAGCCTGCATTGCAATGCTTTGTCGCAACATGAAATTTCACCATTTGGAGTGTTGGATCAGTCTTGGCCCAAAGTGGTTGTGTCTGGGTGGGTTCAACACCTTGCTTACAGTTTTGACCTTTGTCTTGAGATTTGGGCCACTAGGGTAGGGTGGTCTCAGGCTCCTAGGTGTTGGTTCTTGGTGTCCTCCTGGGCCTACGGATAGGCCCACAGCTGCCTTCGACACGTTGGGTATCAAGCGCCACAACTCTTCTAGAAGGACAGTTGAGGCGTGGGGTTGGGAGGACAGTGGCCTGGCCTCTAGAAGTGGTACCTGAGCCCAGGAGGGACACCTGCCTGTTCCCTGCAGCCCGCCAGGGCCCCAGCCGAGGATGAGCCAGAGCTGGACAAGACCCTCCGGAGGAAGGCACTGCTCTCTTCCAAGACCCCACTGCGCCCCCTCTCGGGTCTGTTGTCTGCTGGGAGTGTGAACCTCTCCATTTTGCCTCTGCAGGCTGGTCTGATCCGGATGGAGGAGGAGGAGTTCTTCATTGAGCCCCTGGACAAAGGGCTGGTGGCGAAGGAGGCTGAGCAGGGCCGCGTGCACGTAGTTTACCGTCGCCCGCCCACATCCACGGCCCCTCTGCTCAGGGGCCCACAGGCCCTGGACACGGGTAAGGCTGCTGTGGTGGGTGGCTGTGAGGGAAGCACTGTCTGGGTCCTTGATTTGCAGGGTTACGTTTCAGGGGTGGAGACAGCCCTCTGTGGGCCTGATTGCAGGCTGGGGAACAGGCCTGAGTGCGGCCTGGCTGACTAGCAGGCACAGTGGGGTGCTGGGGCACGGGGCTGGGGCCCCGGTCTGGGCGCATGTGGGCAAGAAGCAGCCCTTACACCCAGTGCTGGTCAGCTGTGGTCCTCACAAGAGAAGCAACGTTGTCCAAGGCTCTCCCTTGTGTTGCCCACAGACCAGCACGGTGGGCAGCAGGCCAGCCCAGCCTGCACCCCTGGCCCTCCTGTGGCCGTGCAGCCTGTGTGCTCACAGGAGAGCCCGAGCGCTCCTTCCTGATCCTCACGGTGAGCCCCATAAAGACCCGGGTGCTGCCAGCTGCCTGCGTGGCCTCTGCACGTTTGTGCGGTTTTGTCTTTTTCAACTTTGAATGGACATGAGCTTTGAACCCGGCAGCCTGAAAGGAGCTGCGGGAGATTGGGTGATGGCTCCCGGCTGCAGCCCTGCCACGGTGCCCAAACTGCCCGGGAGCCTCTGCGGTGTGGCGAGGCGGAGGCCCGGGCCTGCCGTGGCCCTGCAAAGGCTGCCTTTCCTGGGGTTTGACCATGTGGATGAGGCCGCTTGCCGGGCCTGGCTTTCGTAGTGCAAGCGGGCAGCTGCGAACTCGGCCCTCGGCGTCTGGCCCTGAGCTCTTGGCTGTGGAAAGCCGCTGCGGGTGGCAGCAGCGCAGCAGGCGGCCCGGGGGCCTGGGCAGGCACGTCTGCCCGAGCAAAGTGAAGGAAGTGCTCTGGAGCCCTGCGCTGCGTTGTACTTCCGCTTGTCTCTCCCTGCGGAGCGGCCTGGCTCATTAATTTCGGCCTCCCAGCTGACAGATCAATTGGGTGCAGCCTGGCAGGGCCCTGTTCTCATTTCAAGAAGCTGTGTCGGGTGTCTTAGCAAAGGAATTGTTCCAGCAGGAAGCCCAGCATGCCGTGGAACCGATCAATACCTCGGGTGGCCCCTGCGTGCCTGATAATGATCGTCTTCTGGGGGTGCCAGCAGCTGGGCTGGGGGGCTCCCTGCTTGGCCTTCTCCAGCTTTGGCCTCAGCACCACCTGCCTCCCTCCAACTTGGGAGTGTGAATATCTCCATTTTGCCTCTTTCTGTGTGTGCATATGCATGTGTGTGTGTGCCCGTGCATGTGTACATGCATACATGTGTGTGTGCACGTGTGTGCATGTGCATGCTTGCGTGTGCTCACTTGTGGTAACCGTGGTGGACAACAGGGCAATGGAGACAGGCCAAGTCCTGGCCTGGGCTTTGACCTTTCCTTTCTCACAGCTTTGGATGGGGTTAGAAATGCCTGCCTCTCAGGCAGCGCAGGGCCCCGCCACGTTGTGCTTCAGGCCTGGTCCTCTTGGGCTGGCCTCTGCTGGAAGGTTCTGGCAGTTCAGGCAGCATGAGGCGGAGCCTGCACTGTGGGGCTGGCTGGGTACCCATGGCCGAGTCTCTGACCCCAAATTCCACAGGGCTCTTATCTTCCTGAGCATGGCAGCCCTCTCCTGTGGCCTCGTTGGCCTGACTCTGTTTTCTAGACTTCCACTGGTATTTGGCCTCTTCTGTTGGATCCTCCTGCTAGCTCACAACCCTGGCCCACCTATGTTTAATAAGAACTTGGAACTGAGAACATGGGAAAGGAATTTCAACTCAGAATGAGCCCAGAAACCACTGGCCTTGAAAAGTCTGGGTGAGACCAGCTGGTCAGGTGGGGTGAGGCTGGAGGGTGTGGCGGCGTGGCTGATCATGAGCCATGGCAGGGAGGTGGGCCTGTGGCCTGTAGTCCAGGCCGTGGGTATGGGTATAGGCCTTGGGTCGTGGGCGCTGGCCACAGGCTTGGGGTCTGGAGCTCAGAACCCTTTCTTTGTCTTTCCTGCCCAGGGTCAGCCAGACTCGTATGAGGGAGGTGGGTTTGTGGACAGCCTGTTTTCCCTGGATGTGCCTAACAGTTCCTGCATGGCCAGAGCTGAGCTCAACGGACTCCCTGACTGGACAGGGCCCGGACCCAGTTATGCTCGGATAGCTCAGCTTGCCATTGGCCTCGGCCGTCGGGGCCAGAGCGCCGTCCTGGGGTGCACAGAAGCTTTGTACTGTGGCCCAGCATAGAGGAGGACCCGGGTCGCTGGGCACAAAGCCCTAGGGCCTCAGAGCAGAGGGTGTGCGCATGTTGGTGTGCACATGTGCATGTGTGTGCATGTGTGTGCATGTGCGTGCTTGTGCTTGTGTGCGCACGCGTGTATGGATGGGGGAGGTGCTGTGGCTCGGGTATTCCCTGAGGCTCTGTGCCAGGGTCGATCCCCCAGGGTGCGGTGTCCACAGTGGTGGAGCCCTGAGGAGGTGCGGACGTGTGGACGGTGCCCGGGCCTGGGCTCTGCCCCCGTGAGAGGGTCCACACTGATGTCCTGGAGCAGGTGGGGCATGCAGGGGTGAGTCGGTGCTCGCAGGAGCAGGTGGCGATAGAGCAGGAGTGCCCGTGTGGCGCTGTTCTCCAGTGCTGCTCCTGCCCTCGCTGCCACCACCACGTGACTCGTGGAGGGGCCCCCACTAGGATGCGGGTGCCGTGCTGTGTGAGCCCTCAGCTTCGGGAATCGTGAACCCATGACACTTTCACTTTGTAACTCACTGCCGGAAGGGAGCCTGTGACAGCAGTGCCCTCGGGGCACCGTGCCGCGTCTCCTGAGAGAGGCTGACTGACTTGTAAGAGAAGGTCTTCATTGCTTTCGTAGCTTTAGAGACTGAAGGTCCAAGATCAGGCGGCCTGGTTGCTGCTGCCTCTGTGAAGGACCAACAGCTGCTGGCGTCCCAGCAGAAGGCACTTGTGGGCCCTGAGGTTGCAGCTCCGGATGCGAATCCAGGAAGTCCATCTCAGGAGTCTTTCTCCAATCACTGCTGCCAGGCCCTTGTTTCCTACAGAGAGTGCCAGTCACAGGATGTAGGAACCAGGACGGGACCTTCAGCGGTCCCTCCTGGGGAGGCTGCTGCCTGGTGGGTGGCGCACAGGTCTGTGACACCTGAGGGGAGCAGCTGGCTCCAGCCTCAGCCAGGCCTGCCCTGTGCTCAGGAAGGGTGAATCAGGCGGTGGCTGGGCTGGACACAAGACCACGTCTTGGAGAAGCTGGCCACTGCTGGCCTTCTGGTCTGCTTGTCTTTGCCTCCAAGGGGCTGGTTGGAATTCTGCCAAGTCGCCGTGGCTAGGTGCTGGGCATCTGCAGGAGGCCTGGTCATCTCGAGGCAAGAGCTGTGGGCTAGGATGTAGCTCAGTGGCACAGCCCCTGCCTGGCAAGTAGGAGACCCTGAGTTCAGTTCCTGGTACAAAAAAAGCACAAGAGCTGCAGAGTGTGGCCCTCAATACCAATGAGGTTAGCAGCACAGAAAAAGAAAACATAACTGACTCCGCCCTTGGTCTGGCTTTATTTCCCTATTTTTGACGCAAACATGAACAACAGAGAAAACATTTATGTGAAAATGAAAACGGCAGCACAGGTGAGGCTCACATGGTCCCAGGCCCGGGCTCAGCGTGGGCACAGGGCAGGCCCCATCGTGGGCACAGCCCTCCCGGGTACCCCTGCCCGTGGCCCGGTGGAAGGGCAGGTGTGGGCAAGCTCCTTCCCTTACTACCAGGAGGATTCAGATATCGTATTTTTATGTGAGCCTTCCTGATTTTAAAGTGGGGCTTCAAATTTCTGAAAGGCGCCCTCTGGCTCAGATGAAGCTCACGCCCCCATTGGCCCTGCTGAGATGAGGCAGCAGTGGCAGCCTCTGCCCTGCTCTGGGGCTGCCCTCCGGGCCCAGCCACCAGACGGAGGAGGGGCAGGGGCTTCCCGTGCCCAGGCTGCGGAGCCCTGGAGCCTCGCCAGGACCCTGCCCCGCCCGAGCGAGAGACCTCAGCCCTGTGCCCGTGACCTTGGCTGCTGCTGCGTCCTCGGGCACCAGCGCCAAGCCTTTGCCCGCTGCTGTCAGGCTGCAGCGTCCTCCCTGATGGGCAGAGCAGGCACGACACCACAGGAGCCTCTGCCCTGCCGCTGCCAAGCCTGGCCTGCCAGGGAGGTGATCAGATCCCAGGCGCTGCGCCGAGCGGCTGCTCCACGTGGCCGGGGCAGCTGGCTGGGCTGCTAGAGAGCCTCAGCCCAGCGGCTGCAGCCAGCCCTACCGGCCAAGTGGGCCAGGAGCCAACCCCTCCCAACCTGCGCTTGGTCCTGCTGCTGTGCCTGAGCCCAATAGGAGTTTTCCAGGCTGCGGGAAAGCTCGCAGTGGACATGCAGGGCGGAGCACTGAGGGCAGGGCTGACGCCTCAGCTGTGTGGAGGCTGCAGCCTCAAATGACCCGGGCCCTGGACAGTGTCCTGCGGACAGTGGGCAGCTCTCACAGGGACCTGAACAAGAGTGCTGTGTTCTGGCCAGCCCGCTTTGGCTGCAGGAGGCGGAAGGCAGTGAGGAGAGGAGCCCTGTCCTGACTGGTGGCAGGAAGGAAGTGCTAGGGCTCTGCTTAGAGGAGGCAGCACTGGGCCTCAGTGATGCAGCGGACTGGGGCGGAGGGGACAGGCCCGTCAGAGGGGGGTGGGAGAGAATTCAAGAGGCTGGGGCTTGGGAAGCATGGCGCTGCAGCCACTGTTGTCTTAGCTCCCTGTGGCTGTGGTGGTGGGTGCCACACACTTAGCAGCTTCAGGCAGCACAGCTTGTTCCCACCGTCCTGGAGCCGGGACTCTTCAGGGGTGTCTGGGCCTCCCAGGAGCGCCCGGGGCTACTGCGTCCAGGGAGCATCCTGCTCCTGCCTTGCCCAGCTCCCAGAGGTGGCCAGCACCCTGGGCTCCTCGCGGGGTGACATGGGCTCTTCTTCCACAGCCAAGTCCCCTGTGCCTCCCCTCCTAGGGACACTTCAGATTGCTTTTGTGGCCAGGGGTAACCAGGATGG